AATTGAAAAGTTTATAACTGAATTGATTGTCGTACAATAAGTTTAGGACTTTTAAGACAATTATTTCGGGAGAAGAACACTAGAAGTACAAAAACTTGTGTACGACGCTCATTTTAGTGCCAAAAGTTTTTTTCGGATCACTTAAGTGCCACTTTTAAAAAAAAACGATCACTTAAGTGCCAATTCCGATCTGGGTCACCAAAAATCCGACGTGGCTATATTTTATTAATTTTTCAATCCTACGTGGGTCGCCGGCGTGTCCAGTCAGCATATAACTCTTAAACGACGTCGTCTAAAAATTGTAAATAGTGATCGTTTGAGTGTCAAATTTTGTTTAAAGTAATTACTTCAGTGCTAGTCGTTGTTAAAAAATGATCACTTCAGTGCCAGTCTGATTGTGCGATGTTGTTTTGGACGTCCACGTGGACTGCATTTTTTAAAAATATGCAAAGTCATATTAAAAATCTTAATTATAAAGGTCACGTAATCAATTTGGCCGGAATTGGCACTTAAGTGATTGTTTTTTCTCTGATTTGGCATTTAAGTGATCCGAAAAAAACTTTTGGCATTAAAGTGATTACCATACACAACTTTTGACACTTCTAGTATTCTTCTCCCCAATTATTTCCCTAAAAGTCTTGCTACTCTATAAGCTATTTACGAACTTTAAATGGTGCGAGTGAAAAAAAAAACTACTTATTCAAAATTTAGAGTCCAATAGTGCAGAAAAAATACCGTACTTTTGCTGAAGTCGAATATGCCCACCATTGGATCACATCTCTTCTTATTACGAGACTATCCCATTGCTTTTCCAATTCAAAATCCCATTTAATTAAGATAATAACAGTCAATACAAGAAAAGAAGAGTAAAGAGCATGTTACTTAGCACTTTCTTTAGCCGATCATAATAATGGAGAGGCTCTTTTCCCCCTTTTCTAATGGGCACGAATGGACCATGACGGCTCTAGTGAAAGAGTTCAATTGCTATATACTCACTAGTATTAGCACATGGGTCCATTATCTTGCTCTAACTTCGACGGCATACAAAGTTAAATTTGGCTCCCACATGCCACCCATCCGTTCGCACGCACATTCACCTACAAACGCATTAAAGCACAAACCGACCACGCTACAAAAAGCAAATACAAATACGAGCCACTCTATAAAGTTGCACACGACGCCTTTGGATGTTTATTAATTTCCGGTGATCGTGGACTCATAATTTGCTGATATCCAGTGGGAAGGCGCCCCAGTTCAGAGTTCTCTCCACTGGGTCGACGAGTCCATGTTAAGAGAATCACATTGGCCAGTTCGGTGTCTTCCCCAATGATGAACAGTGACGATGTTTCAGTTTTAGAAAGCACATGCACGCATGATCGATGATCATAGTAAAAACATCTTAAAGCCCATGTTGTTGCCCTACTGCTCACTGCCTGCAAAAGATTCCTCTTCCCAATGATTAACAGTGACGATGTTTCAGTTTTAGAATGCACATGCACGCATGATGATCGTAGTAAAAACATTTTAAAGCCCATGTTGTTGCCCTACTACTCACTGCCTGCAAACGATTCCTATTCCTTCGGACTGCACGCGAAACTGATCTCACTATGAAGCATGTGTCGTCTTCGATGCTTTCTGAGTCGTGCGCTGTGAAGTGGGCCTGCAGCTTACACTCTAGGCCTAGGACAGGAAGCCAAATTGAGTTTTTCTCATTCCTTCCCCATAAGCTTCAGGCAATTTTAAAAGTTATAATGTACATGTTGCTAATTTGTTTTGTTTATTGGCTTGGCGAATATAAAGTGGTTGAGCCTATAAAATGTCGCCTAGCAACTAGAGAAAGCATGGAATCAAGAAAGTAATGCACATAAACAATATAAAAGAACTTCCTTACCAAAAAAAACAATATAAAAGAAGTTACTAGTATTTCTAAAATCTCATGTTTATTCAATGTCCGCCAATTGTTCGATATTGGTATAGCCAAAATATAAGCTGTTACCATAGCCTTATCTTGCTAAAACCTGAACTTCACTAATAGTACTTTCTTACACTCATCCTCCTAATTTTTTATGAATACTAGCCTTGTACCCTAGTACTTGATCACTGTCAAGATAAAACGACTTGTTGTTACCCATTGAACTTTGACAAATTCATTAAAAATTGTAAATTTGGGTTTCCACTATCTTGACTATTATCAATTGGTCAATGATCCATTCCTTTGACAATATTGCTAACCAAACCTTTTGAGAGCCCCTTAGTGAATAGATCGGCCAAGTTATTATTTGTTCGCACATAAATTACTGAAATAATTCTATAAGTAATTAATTGTTGAGCATACTCATGTCGCAAAGTTATAAATTTAGATCTTTCATTGCATATTTTACTATATGCTTTAGACATAGTTGTCCCTACCTCAATGTTAAGATATGATTGCCATCGGTTGTGGTCACAAGTCTTTATCCAATAACAAATTTCGCAACCATTCAACCTCTTTACTAGCCACCAATAGCGCTATAAATTCAGATTTCATCATTGAATAAGCTATACGTGTTGCTTTTGTGATGGCCAAGAGATTGCACCATTTACACGCTTGAAAAAATCCATCCAAATGTTGACTTGTTATCAATTGTGCTAGTTATCCAATTGGCATATGAATATCCTTCTAGTACTGTTGGTTGTCTTCCATAGAATAGACAATAATGTATTGTTTTCCTTATGTAACAAAGAATTCTACTTAGGCCCTTCCAATGCATGGTACTAGGACTATCATTATATTTGGACAATTTACACACAATAAAGGCTATATCCTGTCTTGTGCAATGCATATCATACATTAGACTTCCAATTGCACTAGCATATTCTAATTGTGCTAAAGGTTGTCCACTATTTTCCATCAATTTAATTGACACATCATATTGTACTTTGACTTTGTAATTCCCAAATGTTTATATTTTTTAATAATTTTCTTTACATAGTGGTCTTGACTTAAATCATAACCTCACTGTATTTAATCACTTTGGTATCTAAACTTGTATTCACTTCTCCCAAATCTTTCATTTTAAATTGAGAAGATAGATACTTTTTAGTTTCATTTATGCTATGCATATTTGTACCTACAATAAGCATATTTGTGTATAAGCAGATTATAAATCCATACTATTTGGTAAACTTTGAATAAATACACTTGTCAACATTGTTTATGCTTAAATCCACATATATTTATCACCAAATCAAATTTTTCATGCCATTGTTTTGGTGCTTGCTTCAAGCCATATAATAATTTGTTTAATTTGCAAACCTTATTATCATTTCCAGGTAGAATAAAAGCTTCAGACTATTCCATATACACCTCATCTTCTAATTTGCCATTTAGAAAAGTTGTTTTAACATTTATCTAATGCGGATGAAATTTATAAGTTGATGCAAAAGCTAATATAACTCTAATGGATGATATTTGAGCAATCTGTGCATATGTATCAAAATATTTCAAAGCTATAAATCTATCAGTACCTTGTTTGTCATTATTGTATTTGGTCTCGAAGGCAGTCCAAATGTTTTTAGGATTTGTGTAAGATCGAAAAATTTCATATTAACGATTTGACAGAGCATTAAGAATTCTTTTTCGGCACGTCCTTTCCTAATCAATTGTTTCTTTCCAAAATAATGCATATCTAGATGCCATTACTTAACTGAACGTTCTTGGATCTGGGTAATTTATTCACAACCTTTTCCCTATCTTCTTCTACCACGAGAGTTACAAAAATCAGAAACCAAAATTTTTCATTCTCTTCACTCTTTGATTTCTCTTTGGCTCACTTGGAGAATCAAACAATTTTCTTTTACTTTGTGTCAATTGGTGTTTGTGAATATGCTGAGATATCATTTGACCCTTTTAGAAATTTGTATTCGAGGAATTCAACATCTCTTGAACATCTAATAATCGATAACCTTTAGAATTTTTAGCATATCGAACAAACAAATTTTTTAATGCCCTTGGTCCTAATTTGGTTCGCTTAGGATCAAGAATTATATAATACAAATGGCATCCCCATACTTTAAAGTTTTGGATATTTGGTACATTTCCTTTTCATAATTCTTATGGAGATGTCTTAAATTTCATTAAAGGAATTTTGCTGTAAACATGATATGCAGTAAGAAGTGTTTCTTGGCACAAATTTATTGGCAATTTGTCTTGTAAGATCATGGCATTAACCATATCTACCAAAGTTTGATTCTTTCTTTCTGCCAATCCATTTTGTTGTGGTGTATCAGGTGCACTTGCCTGATGCACAATACCATTTAATTCATAAAAATTAGAATGCAGCAGTACAAGTACTTTATTAGATCTTTCAATATTTGAGAACAATTTCTTGGTTATCTTTGGTTGTAAACATATTTCACAATCCTTCTTATCTATATTATCACATGATATTATAGCACTTTTATTCATAAATTGCAAAGTACTATAGCCAATATAAGATAATTTGTTATGCCACATGGAAAATGACTCAAGCATATAAATTGAAACAAAAGTTTCATTAATACTTATCTATCAAGATTGCGAGCACTTGATGCAACCATTGTCTCAATCTCTGTGAAAATAATACTTTAAGGTTGTTGGAAAAAATTGATTGCTGATGAAGATAGAGAAGTAGTTTATAGTTCTTTGATGGTTTTATACGTGATGGAGATCATTGTTTCTAAAGTATTATTTACCTCCACTTTTGTTGCTGTCAGATTTAAAACAAATATACCTCTAAAATATATTCCAAAGCCACAAAGAAACGGGTTCAACAATTATTCAATATTCCTCTTGGAATTTCACCTAAATTGTGTTATCAAACTTGTGTAAGAAAAGAGATAAAGAGAGAATGTTGCGAAGAAAAAAGAGTTATGAAAAAGAGAAAGTTGTTGTCATGAACAATGTGTGATTTAGTCCTACTCATAGACAGCCAAACGACACTTCTCTTTATAATAGGTATTTTCTCATTACCATCACCACTTTTCATAATCAACCAGCACTTATTTTCATATCAACAATCATTTATTTTCACATCTTACAATCACTTCTTTTTATGTTCAACAATCACTTCTTTTCATGACGAAAAGCTATTTCAATTGTACTTGGAATCTCAGTTTTCGAATCCTTCTCCGGCGAAGCGGCTGTCTCCTTAGGAACATGGCGATTTTTGAGAAGGAACCCGCCAACTACGATGATGGCGACGATGGCTATGATGACGATGGTCGACCTTGGAGTGTCCCACCATGGAGTGTCGTTGTTGTCGTACGATACAGAAATCGGGACTTTCCATGGCAATGGAGGAGGGAAATACGGAAGACCCGAGCAATTTTGAGGACAGTTATCGCTCTCCATCAAGAAAACTCTATGCAGTTCAACCAAAGTAGTGAGTTTGCAAACATATTTCGAAGCATCAATTCATACAAAAATGGGAATAAATGTTCTAAAAGACGATACTTTATTAGAAAAGATACAGTTTTTGTCGTGATGTATCAAGAATATGATATGACCAGTACAAGAACAAGATCAAGAAGATTGATAACGGAATTCAACAAGATATAATGAGTCAAGGAGTCAAAGGAGGTGCTTGCACGTACCTTAACAAGAAGAACTGAGCAAACCAGTGAGCGATGTTATTGCTACAATTCTTACAAAACCTGCAAAGAAATGCGAACTTTCGTTAGGTGGGCTCTCATTATAATGGCCCTCTATAGTGTTTTGGTCAACTCGTCAACAATGTTATTTAAAGTGAGGATGTACGTACGAAGTGATGATTGAAAAAACAGGACAAAAGTTGGGAAATTTCATATCACTCACCAAACAGTCATGATCTGATATTCATGACATTGTTTACAAATACAAAAAACAATAAAGGCATCCAATCCCGGACGGTGATTCTACCGCGGATGCGAAACATTTAAGGTGGGACGCTTCTATTCTCGGGTCTTCACAAGGAACGCTAGAAATAAAACAGTTACTACCTAATCAACTCAAAATTGAGTAACATAATAGCTTTTGAATTGGAGTGAGTCCAAAACTAAGAGACCTAAACGTGGGTTTTGGACATAGATTCCCTGTTGTTGATCCTCCATTCGATGATTGGAGGATATATTATATATACATTATTGATATTTGGCATTTGGACAAGAGTCGGGGAAGGAGAAGAGCTGTAAGAATTTATACTTGGGATGAATTACTTCCTTTCTTTTTGATGTTGCTGTGAATGCCAGTGCTAGTTGGCGATGCAGTAACCCCCGAATGTGATAGTTCCCATATCTATACCATTTCCTCGAGAAAATTATTCAAAAAGTCCTAAATCTATTGTACTTTTGCCAATTTAGTCCTAAATAATTTAATTGTGTCAATTAATTTTGATCGAAAAATACTGATGTGAACGCCAGCTTCCTACGTTGTACGGCTAGCATCGATGCGGACAATTTTAAGTAATATTTTTTTTTCAATTTTTTTATTATTTCTTTTCTTCTCTTTCCCTTCTTTACTTTTTCATTTTTTTCTTTGCATTTTTCTTTTGCCCTCTGCCGACCATCGCCGGGCCTTCACCAGCCTTGGGGCGATGCCGGCCGCGACTCGACCAACAACCAGACGAGCCCGAGGCTGAGCTTGAGTGGTGAAGTGGGACGATGGGGTTGCAGAGGGGAAAGGAAGGAGAGAGAAGTGAAGAACAGGAGTTGCGTGAGCTCGAAGGAGATGAAGCAGAGCAAGAAACCAAGGATCGATGACGCTTTGCTGCGGGGGCGAGCGGTTGGAGCGAAATCAGCACTTCTCCTGATAGAACCCTCCACTGTATGCACACGATGGACAAGTACTAAGGCATTATTTGGCCTGCACCATAAGAAGGACCGGTGCCTTAACTGCGAGAGCCTGCAGTTGCGGAGTCTTCGCAGCCGCCTTTGGTGGTTTTGCCGGTGACAACATTGTTGGGACTGGCTTCCCACAAGATGGTGAAGATGGGTTTGTCTCTGTTTTCGTGCCATTGCAGGAATATGTAAAGGATGCAGCAGAGCAAGGGAACGGCAACTCCTGTTGCCACTTGACCCACTTGGACATTCGACGACAATGACGGTGACGATGAGGACGATGATGGATCGAGCCACGCTGGCCTTGGTGATGAGTAATACTGGAAGCTGGGATTTTCAGGTTGGCAACAGTTGTTGCCAATGTGAGCTTAGCAACCTGAAGATTGAAAGGGAAATTTCATTTTTTCTTCCTAATTAAGTCGATTTGTTTCAGAAGTGAAACATCGTCTAATGCTCCATAAACTGGAGACTCATGTACTGGAAGCCACCCTCCCATAATCCCCTTAGTTTTGAATATACATGGATTCGTGAATTTCATGTTCGTGCACGAAGCGTTTAATGTGCATGTCATCATTTCTTGCAAAACCCTATTCTCGTTAACAAAAGTTATACATTCAATATTCTCAAATTCTGTCTTATGAACCCTATTTTTCCAAAGCACTGACATGTTCATACATTTGATGCAGCCGATGAAAGTAAAGCAGTGGGTTGCTTATTAATTTCCGGGGTTCGAGGACTGATAATTAAATGATAAGTGGAAAAGGAATCCCAATTCAGACTACTTTCGACGGGCTCAACGAGTAAATATTCAGAAAATCACATTAGCCAGGTCGATTCCCGCATGATTAACATGTAAGAATTTTTCTGATGTGGGTTAAATTAATTGAGATTGTAATTTATAATTTTACGGAATTAGTCTAATAAGTTAAGATATAAAGTTTCTTAAATAATCTAATATGTGACTGGCTAGTGTGGGCCGAGTAAGGCCCGGCCAGTGATGAGAGGACTTGACTTAAAACTCTATAAATAGAGCTTAAGTCCATCCTCTAATTCTAACGCACAATATCTTATATAAGGAGAAAACGTTATCTTTGAGAGGCAGTCTCATTCAACTAGTGATACATAGCGTAATAGAGGAGAAGACTCGCGCTGAACATCGTCGCTATTTCGCATAAAAAACGATGGATTCCAAATCAGGTGCGCAAATCTTTTTTACTTAATTAATGTGTTCTAGATTCTAGTTATGGAGATCTTGGATGTCGTTTTAGCGGCCAACAACATAACAGTGACTATATTTTGGTATTAGGAAGCGCATTCACATGCATGCATGATGATCATTGCAAAACATTTTGAAGAAACTGCGAAAAGCATTTTATTGTTGTTTATTAATTGTTCATCTCATCCATTACCGGATGACATAACAAGAAATTCAACAAAAACTTTCCGTAATTTTCTCCATGTATTGAGTATGGACAAAATGTCACTGGTCAGAAAGATATCATCTTAAAGGGTAACTATGTTTGTTAATGCAAAGTAAGCTTTTCTTTTGGCTTGCGCTAATTTCATCCTTTTATTGACTCTAGAAAAATTATTAAAATTTTTTAAAATATATTGTAATTATGCCAATTTAGTCCTAAACTTTTTTTTTTGCCAATTGAGCCCTAACTTTTTGCATTTGTGTCAATTCAGTCCACTCGGCCAATTTTGGCCAGAAATTGCCGACATGGACATCATCCATCCTATGTGGCGTAGCCGGCGCTGATGTGGATAATTTTTAATAATTTTTTAATAATTTTTTGAATGATTTATTTCTTTATTTCTTTTCTTTTCCCTTTTTTTCTTTTCTTTTTCTTTATTTTTTCCCCTTCTTCTTCTAGCCAGCCATGGCTGGGCGAGGTCTCCCTTGTTGGCCAGAGGAAGAATGGAAGAAAAAAAAAGAGAAAAAAATAAAAAAAGGAAAAATAAAAAAATTCAAAAAATATTAAAATATTATTAAAAAATATCTACGTTAGTACTGGCCGCACCACGTACGACGGCCGGCGTCTATGTCAATGATTTCTGACCAAAATTTCCTAGACGGACTGCAATTAGCACAAGTGCAAAATTTTTAAGACTCAATTAGCAAAGAAAAAAATGTTTTAGATTGAATTAACACAATTACAATAGGTTTAAGATTTTTTTTGGTAATTTTACCTATTGGCTCCTAACACCTTCTTATCACATTGAATTGACTGCAATGTCCTTTGCAGGTCCCGCTCTTGATTCAAGACAATTTTTTACATTTTTTTCTACATTTTCTTTTGTTTCAATTTTATTAAAAGGCAAAGTTACCCATGTCCCTTTCCAACAACTTTTTTTCACCCTAATTGCTTTATTCACACCAATTACATTTCAATGTTTCCTTCATGTTTGTCTTCTTCTAAACTTATTTTGCCAATTATTGACTTTATTACCCTAGATGATCCTCATGATCGTGAATTTTTCGACTTCGATTTTCAGTATAAATTTATAGAAATTTACTCAAAGATTGAATATTGTTGTTGATGAATGCATTATACACAATTTACTCATCTTTCATCGTCTTTCGCCGGAATTTCTCCTACAACAAAATATCTTTCACCGAAAGTCATTTTTTGATTTTTGTTAGAGGAAACGGGTTCTACACCAACTCTGCATAGAAAATATTCAACAAAATGGAGAAATCATCAGCTTTACTACAAACCAAACTATACAAACATAAACCTGCCGAAATTTAATCGACGACAAGGCTTGGAAGGTATAGCTATTACAAGTGAACGAAACGTAAATAAATTGTGCCGAAATTTAATCAACGACAAAGCCTTAGTATGCCAAGATAAAGATACATGCCGGAATTTAATCGATGATGCGAATCTATAAACTACAGCTAAGAAACACGCTGGAATTTAGTCGACGACGTGAATATGGAAGATAAAAGTACAATGCAAGAAAGTAAAGATACTGAAAGATGGTTGTCACATATGAAATTTCTATATTCGATAGTAACATATAAGATATAAAGTTAAGTAGATTGGAGTTTTGGATGGCTCATATGGAATCTCAAGTGGATCATTAATTTCGTGGGGTGTGGAAAGTGTGACGGATGATTCTTCCACGACAATAATCGATCGGAGTCCGATCCATTAAGCTTAAATTGATAGATGTTGACATGTATCCTAATGGTGTAGAGTGACGGTAATTGATTTACCGCCATATGAGTTGTAAAAAGGGATCGATATGCTCTGAATTAGATATTTGATGATTTTCAAGTTCTACATTTGTTGAATTGAGAATTTCGTAGCATCAAATATCATTTACTAATAATTTTAGTGAGTTCAAAATATTTTTCTAATTTATCAGTACTTTAAATGGACACCGACTTCCTTATCTATATACTGAATTACTAAATATCTCGGCAACTTATCATAAGGGTTACTACCATAAAAAATCTCAAACTGGTACACATGTGACAAATTTATTCCAAACTAATTTTTTGACCACCAAAAACCCTAAACCGGTACATTTGTGACAAATTTACCCTCCACTAAATTGGATTAATACCACGAAAAATCGCAAACCGGTACACTTGTGACAAACGGAGGGTAAAATCCCAAATTGGTATACCCGTCAACTGTCATGTGTCATCCAACTCAAAAATTTGATGGTAAAATTTAACAGAAACTAATGAAGTATAAAATTATCATAGGTATACCAGTTTAGGATTTTTGGTGATCAAAAAATTAGTTTGGAGTAAATTTATCACATGTGTATAGTTCGGAGTTTTTCATGATATTACCCCTCATCATTATATCTACTTTAAAACCATATAATTATACCACTTGTCACTTTTTTACTTGAACACCTCTTTATCTCATTAATGCTCTTTAAACTTGCAAGCCAAGAGTCCTCGTTCATTGTGCTATATCTCCCTCATTTTCAACCATAAATTTCACCTATAAAATTACATCATATGCCTAACCTCACTTTTTTGCTTCAGTGATTACAAATCAAATAATGATTCCTATTCATGCATTCGCTTGGGCAATCTTATGCTCTCTTCAACCATTATGTTTATTTAGCTACTCAAATTATGGCACTTGTAATATTTTAATTTGTACACATCTCTCTCATTCTCCAACAAGTGTTTTTAACCCCAATGTCATCATGGCTTTTAACCTTAGTTAACTTATATCTATTGTTTTTAACTCATGAGAAATACAAGTGAAGGTCTTTATCTCTTTTATCAATGCTTGAAATGATTACAACTCAAATAATATTTCCTCATTCATGTAT